GTAGAGAACGTCGAGTCATCTCGTATAAATTCTGTTTGTTTATTTCCGTAGCTACTGAACTGATTTTCTGTCGTTATGGGAGAAATCATATTTGTAGTAAATTTGTGGTGAACGGTACTTGATGAGGGTTTCTTTTGTTTTATTTTATGTCTCATGAGAGCAGTTGAAATGCCGTCTTGCATACTTTCTGCTGATGATGTTTCTTCAAATGGTGTTAAACTGTAGTCAGAAAATGGCGAAAAGGTTTCTCTTGTATCTGCCTCGTCGTCATAAAATTCTTCATAATCATAAGTATAATTGTCTTTCCCAGTTGAATCTGTACTATCTTGAGTAGTTTCTCCTCTATTAGTAGTGATTGTCAACGGATCAGTGGCAGCATTCAGTGTGGTTAAACGGGTAGAATTTTTGATTTTGCTAATGGTTGTTGATGTTTTCGTAGGTCTTGACTTACGCTTAGCATTCAAAACGGAAGTTGGTACTAATTTAGTAGTTATATCTTCTCGTGTACTTGTATGGCTTGTTATTTCAGCTGAGGTTGCTTTACCCTCGTCATCTCCCTTTTCTGTGGTGAGTATTAAAACTGCAATATTTTCCTCCGGAATGACAGATATGCTTTCCAAATCTGCCTCTCCGGGTAGTTCAACAGTAATTTTTTGCTTCTCTGAACTCGTTTCTGTAACTGATTCAGTATCTTCAACATAAGTAGTCGGGGAATGTTCAGCAGCCTCAGTGTAAATATCAGAGATATCCGTTCTTAAAGTTTGAGAGGAGGTCCCTTCCGTTTCCAATGGTGAAATAACAGTTACGTCGTAATTATCTGTACTGTGAGGCACGGGAACATGAGAGCTGTTGACATTCTTTTGGTCTAAAAAAGAAAGTAGTTTTTATATAAGAAAACATTGTGCAAAGTATCACTATTTGCTTGTAACCAGAGAGTTTCGTTTGGATAACTGGAATTATTGATACATGAAGGAGAAAAAATATTGAGCAAAATGGTAAGATTGCTTCCGAAAATTTCTCTGATTTTTAACAATTATAAGTATATTTTTAGTTTATCATAATTTTACACCCTTCCTGCAAATGGACATTCTTATTATTAACGGATAAAATTGCAGAGGCTGTGTGAGTTCATATTATATATTTGCCTTTTTCAGTAAAGCTAAAATCACTGTATATTTCCGAATATAAGCTGATTTGTGTATAAACTGAGAGAACGTTTTTTCTTCAAAGATTTATTCAAAATTTAAAACCTGTACGTAAGTCAAATTGAAAAAAAAATCCTTTAATTCTCAAATATGTTGCCATGAGGGCAAAAATGTTGCCAAAGGAGTAAAATAGGTAGATTATTTTCCAATAAAATTGTTGCAAAGTAAAACGGCAAACACCAAAGATGATAGTTTTATTTCTGGTGTAGCTATGTGAAACTAGCACATTTTTTGCCTTTTATTTTCATCTGGGGTACTACTAGTGTTAATTTTTTTTTCTGTGCCATTTTTTTTTTGTTTGAAGAATAAGTGGGAAGAGAAATTCGTATACGGATAGTTTAAAACTACATGTTCAAACGTCCCAATAAGTAAAAGCGAATTCTGCGAACTCTTCAGAAACTGGGACTTTGTCACTTACTTTGAAGAATATTTTTTGACTCTGTTCTTTTTTGAATAAAAGTTCTATTCAAAACACCCCAAAAATTATATAATTTAAATAGTTACGTAACGTACTAACGTAAATTGTTTTTAAAAAGAACCCTTTTTCCTTAAACTACTTCAAAAGTTCTTAGCTTATACACGGAAATATGTGGTACTTTCTTTTTAATATTTTAAAGATATTTATTTCGTTTCTTTTAATTTTTTTGATTATATGAGAAAATGTTTTATATTACAAATTTATATATATTTAATATCGACAGCAAACAAAATCTTATTTCAATCTTTTTATAGTTGAACACAAGTAGGGTTTTTTTTAAAAAAACATTTTAAAATAAATTTTTTTAAAAAATAATCTTTTAGTAGTTTTAAAATAAATCCTTCTTAAGAATAATTTTTAGTAGTAAAGGAAATACTTTTTACAAATTTTTTTTCTAGAAATAAAAAAAAGCTGTTGAAAATGCATCTTTTAACTTTTCTTCCAAAATAAGAAAAATTCGAAATCGTGAGGGTGTTTATAGCCAAGTCTAGACCACAACACAGGACAAAGAATTATCTCCATTTGCATTGCTCTTTTTGTTACACACAGGTGGTTGCATTGTCTAAGAGATCTTCAAAGACTCACCGCATTTGTACTGTGTGGGGCAGCAGTGTCCTTCGGGAATCACGGGGGTGCAGCCAGGTATACTCGGAGAACACTCCAGACGCCGACAGACCACGCCCATTTGAGTGCAGTAACACGTCTGGCAGTGACCATTACTGGGAACAGCCACACCTACGTCGAAATCATACCCTTCCACATTGCAGGATGTCACTAAAAAATAATTAGTGCATAGTATATTTTTAAAATTTCGTGAGATTTTTGAAAAGAAGCTTTTATTAAAAGCTACACTATCCACCTTTTAAATTGATGGTTTAGCTCTTACCTCAAAGGGTGTAATCTACTTTTATTTCTAAAGTGCTTTGATATTAAATTGTGCAGTACTTTGCTTATGTATGATATAAATTCATTATTGTAGAAATGCTAAGTCCGGCACAAAAAAAAAAAAAAAAAAAAACATATTTACTCCCTACTATGTTCCCAAAATTTTTGTATACTAATATGACATTCTACATCAGTTTCAAAATGTTAAAATTGGAATGTTTCATAATTAATGAATTTGAAAATCAGTATAAAAATACAAATTTGAAACATTGAATTTACTTTCATGCTAAAAACATGGCGTACGTTCAATTCATTGAGGCTCAAAGTTCTCACGTTGGTGAAGAAGGAAGTTTGCCAGCTCAAGTGTCTTCCTCATCACTTGATCATGATTCAAAGTTACTAGACTCCATTGCTAAAAGACCTTGTGCAACTTCAAAATGCGATGTTAACAAACAATACAAAACAATTAATTCATAATAATAACAACCAGAAACTAAAGTTGAAAGATTTACCATCTTTTACAGATGCTTCGTAGACTTTGATAAACTGTTCATAAATTTTTGATCCTTCCCTCCTTTCTAGAAAATCTTTTAAAAATATTTTGTATTTCCAAAATTGACATATTATCCAAAAAAATCACATACATTTAAGAAAGCTAATATTTTGTGCTATAAATACCATTCTATAGTTAACCATTTTTTTTTTTTTTTTTTTTTTTTTTTTTTTTGCTAGCCAAATTCTCCAAATTTGAAACAAACAACTATTTCCTTAAATCACTGTTGTATAGAGATTATTTAATTTTACAACTTGCATTTCAATTTAGATAGGACAAATTTGCAAACATACTATTGAGCTTTTCTCTTAAATTTTTATCTTAAAACTTAAAAAATATTTCAAAAATATATAAGAATTAAAATGAAACAGTTTTCTTTTTTCTAACTTTCTTTTTCTTTTTATAAATTCAACTAACTTCATTCAAATTTTTATTGACACATTTATCACAAAAGAATAACTGTAATTTAAAACAGAAGAGTAAATTATTAAACAGTATAAATACTACTTTGAAACCTGAATCAAAAGAAGCTCAAGAGCTTTATGAAATAAAAAAAATGTAGTAATAAATAAAATAAAGCGGAAAATATACTTTTTGTAACAGAAAAAACAAGAACCAGTAAGAAAGGGAAGAAACTGCGTGTTCACTTATGTTGCGAGAAAATATGTAAATGATTAAATTTTGGAGGCCAATAAAGAACTACTTTCAGTTCCAGCGCATTCCAACGATCATCGGAAAGGTCTATAAAAAGAGGACATTACTTCCATGCTACTGTGTCTCCGTCGACTCACATGGACTGTACCAATACTTAGCAAACGGATTTGCGAGCATAGAAGATGTTATCGTTCAAGAGAAGGCAAACAGTTGGACTGAAGGAAGTATGACGGTTCAGTTTCAGGATCTGTCGATATTTGCGCCGGAGCGATGCAATCATTCGACGTTGTCGACAGAAATGGGTGAACCCTGGTTGTACAGTGTGTTAAGAAGGTTGCGGTCGATCGAGAGCAAAGTAAAAAACAAACAAAATGATGAGAGACAAAATGATCACTTGCTCAGTGCTAACATCCCCTGGTGCGTCCTCACCAACAATCTGACGTGTAATGGGGACACCAGTAACTACAATGACCATCGATAAGCGTGTTTGCGATGGTGCCGGGTGTATTCGACTGAGAATCTCACGGATTGGAGTAAAATTATTTTCCGCGAGATGAGTCTCACACTTCAAATTGAGTTCTGATTATTAGTGAAGAATGTCTGGAGAAGTCCAGAACAGCGGTTGAGTACTCGTCTGCCTTATAACTGGACAGCCAGGAGTTATGGCATGGAGTTTTATTTAATTTGATAGTTATTCGTGGCACTTTTATAGCACGGTGTTACGTCGACGAGATTCTACGCCCCGTAATGTTACTTTCTTTTTATGGACTCCCTGATTTATATTTCAACAGGATAATATCCAGCTGCACAAGACATGTCTTCGAGCATTTACAACACTTCCTTAGCCATCATGATCACCAGATCTCTGCAGGAAAAACAAGTTTGAAACACGTTTGGGCTCTGTTGAACAAGTGTCTCCGACCGTACCTGGATCTTACCGATCCAATTCATCAATCTCTCCTGTTGAAATCTCAAAATGTATGCCAAGCAGTACTGTAGTAGGATCTCTTCGAATCAATGTTTAGGTGGATAACAGATTGCATAAAGCAGGGGTGGGCAGACTTTTCCAGGGTACGGGCTACGTCTAGTTTTTTTAAGGTGTTGCGGTCCACCCAAGAGACGTAGGTGTGGTGAGGTAAGAAAAAGGTCTTCAATATTTATTATATTTTAATAATAAATAAGGAATATGTACTTTAATCTACATAATTACAATAAAAAAAAAATCGTCGCCCAGCCAGTATGACCCTCGGCTTGTAACCGAGTGGGTTCGGGTTCGAATCCCGAGTAAGACATGGTTGTATCTTCTTCGGGAAAGAAGTCAATCTTTCACCTATAATGGAATCCCGTCTCGAGAGGAAAAGCAGCGCACCCCTTCTTGTTATATGCTGAGATCATCATCTGTAATAAATGTGTATATTCTTCTGTTGTATTGTATGCTTTCTGTTCTTCACTTGTATTTCATATGTTCCCAGGATAAAAAACACACGTGAACAACAACAATAAAATCACGCTTTTCACTGGAGTAGCTACTCCCGAGTAGGCCCTGTATCAAAGTTCCTCGGGGGCCCTTCCTAAGAGCTTCTTAATATTTTGGGATTTTTTTTGCTAACACGTTTTGGGGCCCCACAAAGTTTGGGACCCCGTATCATTGATACGGTGGTAGCTACACCCCTGGCACTTTTAAAGCCACGTTAAAAGGAAAACGCATGCTACAAACATAATAATAATAGTCACAAATATAATAATATTAAATGATGCATTTATTACCAAACAATTCAAAACATGCGTTAGAAACGTTTTCTTCTCGTAATTAAAATCAGTAGAAGACTAAGTCTGTATACTATCAGCTAATCTTGAATATTTTCATATAAATTACTAAGTGCTAATCTTCAAGCGGTCACCCCAAAATGAATTGGCAATTCACCGGTAGATCGCGAACGACTTAATGCCCACCCCTGGCATAGAGGATAGGAGTGGGTAAGGATTGATTGATTGTATTTATTCATTGCCAGGATAAAAAGTTAAATTATCTTATGATACTATTAGAGTTTCGTTTTTATGCATGCATACTACATCTATTGATTTTCTTTTCCTACGGATAAGTCCTTCTTGGTGTGTCATTATTTTTGTTAAAGAGTGCATGTTATTGATACTTAGAAAATAATAACACGTACAAAAAGTAGCAATACTCGTACGTGACCTAAATAAGATTTAATTTTGTTTATACATCAAAATTGTGGCTGTTTGTGATTTCATTAAACAAAAAAAAAGGCCCACTGAGATTATTTACAGATCAAATAACTTACATTAAATATTGAAATAAATATTTAAAGTAGTATCCGAGCGTGAAAAATGAAACTAACATTTAAATGTAGTATCAGGCCTTTCTTTTTAAAGCAACTAAATGCATATAAATATAGAAATATTTTTATTAGAATACAAACCTTTATTCTTTAAAGTGTCGTTAACTGATCCCATTTGATGATTCTTTAAGTTCTCGTCATTTCCAAGAGTTGAGACTCCAGACGCTATTTCTAAGATTTAAAAAAAGTAGACAAGGAACTCAAAAAGAAATATGCAGATACGTATTAGCATAAGAAATATAAACGATTTACCACTATAGATGTGGGTTAAAGATAAATAAAAGTAACTGTTTTAATCTGAATTACAGCAGATTTTCTAGATCACCAACACTAAATTTGATAGATTCAATCTAGTTTAATATGATAAGAATGCAGGTTCTGCTTGACTATTTACCTTCTATTCGTATTTAAAGCAATTAAAATATGGTAAGAAATTTTAGTTAGCTATCGTATTAAAGACTGAAATCATGATGATTACTAATATTGCTAATTCTAACCATCAAATTAAAACATTTACATTCATCATTTGAAGATTCTTTGAAATAAGAATAGAATACTTATATCACATAAAAATGCTATTTGATAATAATTTAAGTAATTTTGTGTTCATTGTAAATAACTAAATAAATTGTAAAAAGTAAGAATAGGTAGTAAATATATAAGCTATTGAAATATCATTTATGAAATGTCTCTTATGCAGTGATAAAAAGTAATAATTTGATTTATAAAATACAATTCAAATTGAAGTACTTTCATTTATAACAAGGCATGAATATCCTTTTTCAAATTTTTGAAAACAATTTTTAATTTCCCGTTCGATTACATTTTTGAAATATTTTTATTAAATTTTTATATTGTAAAAATGCATTTGTTTCTCATACCACAGTTGTAGTGCGAAGGGCAGCAAGTGTATCCACTTTGGTAGCGAGGAACGCAGCCTTCGATACTGAGGTGACATTTAGGTCGCACGCACATCTGCTGACCCCCGATGCAATAACAGTACTCGCATTTTGTCGGCGAAAGCATGGCCATACCCTCTGTATATTTGTATCCCCTCGAAAAACAATCTGAAAAGAACAGTACAACCTTAAGATAATCTTTAGAGACTATATTAGTTAGAAATTTTTTTTTTCAAATTACGAACTTAAAATAATGATGGTTGTTGTTATTTATCCCACCCGATCGACATTAACACCAGATCAAGGCCCACGAAGTTCATCGTGACAATCGAGGGGTGGGGGAGTGCTAGGTTACTTCTGTCGTTTAGTTGCAGTATTGAGCTCCAAGCAGGTGACAGTACGAATTCGTTTCATTCCACAATTTTGAGGGAGAACACCCCTCTTTCCCTACCACCAACCACTCGAGAGGATTTAAAGCATGGTGAACATTCAGAAACTAAATATTTACAAATGTCCGTGCCTTTTCCGGGATCCGAACCCGGTCCCTCGGCATAACAGTCAACGCCACTAATCACTATCCAGTTTGGGTGACATATTGATTTGTAACTATTTCGGTAATTAAATGGGAAGAGTGTGACTGGCATTGGCCATTAGAAATAGGGATATCAAATATTATATTGTAATCTATTTTTCGGTTTGATACAATGGACACAGGGATCAAATTACCGAATTGGCTGGTTCCAAATTTTTGTTCACATTAATACTGATCAAGAATATCGCTAAAAACGACTGAACTGAATGAAAACTGATGCTGAAATCGATATCTAAACACCATACGTTAAATATTAACTATGATTAAATTGGATTGCTAGATAGATAACTCAGAAAGACAACTGATGTCTTGGAATAAATTAGGCAATGGAGAGTTTTATCTCTTCATCTTTAAAAAATTGAATTTACATTACTTAAATAATTACTTAATAATACATTTTTTCTCTGAATGTAAATCAAAATGTATTAACAGATTATAGACTTAATTTGGCTCCTTCCTAGTCTCAAGTAGTTCTGGTGACATTATTCTGGCATTCCAAAGCATTAATTCGAGATAGTATTTACTTCTTTAATTAATTTATTTTGAGAATAATATTTGAAGTATTCTAACATAATTTTAAAGTAATATATTTTGCGCATACGTACATGCAGCTGTTTCATTTTGATCTGGAGAGAGTTCATCTTCTTCGATATCTTCTTCTTGTTCATAGGGATGCTGACCGCTGTAAGTATCAGACCTTCTTTGAGATGAAATTCCTTTTAAGAAGGATGAAAAGTTAGGCCTGTGTCCCTTCACACCGGGGTTTTTTGTGGTGGGCGATCTCTCAGTTTTAGGATCCATCCCAAAAAGTCCGAAGAAATGGTTATCGTCTTGTCTGAGGCGTTGTTTATTACTGGGTTCGCTTGTTCGTTCGGTACGATAATCGTAATAGGTTGAGGAATCTGCAATGTAATAATGAAAAGGAATAATTTTAGTGTTGTAAATAGTATACAATAGAATCACTATTTAAAAATGTAATACGTTTTTTTGAAAGTGAGCTGTTGGAGTGAATAACAGTTACGCTTTGTCTCTGCAACAAATATTATCAACGTAATTCTGAACTAAAGTTAGAGGATTTATATATATATGAAGGGCTATCACATTCTCTAAAATTCTGAGATCCTAAATCCTACTAAAGACTCTGGAAATAAAGTACAGAAACAGCTTAAGGTATCAACGTTCGGAACCGTGATTTTAAAAAGGCGCATAAATGGATAATTTTCATGATATTTAGTGCCACTTAGAATAGAATACATGTATAAAATTGTTTTAAGGACATATTTTAACCAAAAAAATTTATTTAAGTACAATATTTCGGCAAAAAATTAACTTAGAATAACCTTTTTTCAAAATGTTCTCCGTTTGTGAAAAATGCTTCTATTATAATGATATTTTGCCTCTATATAGTTCAGACCTCTGTACAGAGGCTCAACTATAATTTTTGAAAAATTCACATTATTTTCAGAGTTACAACCATTTGAAAGAATTATCGGCGTTTTTTTCTTAAAATTTCTCCCCTCTGTTGTCGTAAAACATGGATAA